TAGCTAACCATGCAGCAACCATCATATATTGAACAGTTGTTTTTTTACTTCCATAAGTTATCCCACTAAATGACAATAAACATACCTTGGAACTGTAGCTAAAGTTTCCAATATTGACAGTTAGTCTTTCTAATTACTTCTCTCCAGAATCTTTGTACAACCTTGCAGAATCACCATGCATGTACATACTGTAAGTACATTATGCTTTATCATATTTTCAAATTTTATTTGGGACTCTCCCAGTAATTATAGCAACTTGTATGAGTAAACCATCTGTGAATACCTTTTAAATATTTTTTTCTGATCTTTGTTATTTAATAGCAAAGAATTATATTAAATATAATATAAAGAATATTGTGGTATTCTTCCAAAGTATAACCCATTGTGTAACTGAGATACTTATTCTTAAATCTGATTCCCATTTTTCTTTTGAGAGATGTTGATCCCACTTCAAATTTCTAACAGGGTTTATATATTTTGGAGATTAGACTCTGAAGATTCTAACAAGATTTTCAAAATCTGTTAACAATCGCTATCCTATCTTCTTACATATTTTATTTTTTAAAAAAACAACCACATTTCATTAATTATCAGTCAATTAAAGCTCACACATGCCAATTTCTGCTTTAAAATATCTCCTGGAATTACTTATGAAATAATCCCTTAGTTTAAAGGGTAATTGCTGTGAAATTATGATGTTCCAGCATTATAATGCATTCACTATTACATGTATAAAATTATAATGGCCTTTCTCCATTTAGATCTAACCATGTCCCAAATATATCCTGACATATTTAATTTGTTATGTCCCTACAATGTCACCTTTACCTCATCTTGGACACATGAATGTGGCAGTCTTAAGTCATCTTGAAATATGAAAGTGGGGTATACACTTCAGTGTGCAAGGGCGATCTCCATTTGTTAGCCTTGGAGGGAAATTGGAAGACTGCAGTGACTTGAAACAGAGGCCACAGAAGCAGCATAGAGACTGGAAATAGGGAAAACAAAATTTTATAACAATGTTTTTTCTACAGGCAGAAAATGCCATGGGGAAGGTTCTTTTTCTTTTTCAAGTAAAATGGTTCATCTTTCATGTCCTGGATCTAATAAATGAAAACCTGATGAAAAACTGTATTCCATCTAATCAGGCAGCATGGAGTCCACTTAACAGGCACTTAAGGGGATATTGGTTTATGACATGGTGCCGAGAGCTGTGTTACTATATGGGCTTAGAGCTTGCCTATATTTTTATTCGATATTAACCAATTTATTTTTGTTTATTTGTTTGTTTGGTTGATTGGATTATTGATTTGTGTGCTATGTTGCCCTGGATCAGACTCCCCCTTAGTCAACTGGGGCATAGGACCAGACAGGAAGCTACTCATCAGTTCTTGCCTGCTCCCACATTGCCCTATTTACTTACTCACCATACCCCCATTATTTGATTTGGGCAACAGAGCTGATGGCTTCAAGGATGTCTTTTGCTTGGGAGATTGGCCTATGCCTTGTTACAGCTTTCAGTTCCTGGGTTCCCTCTCTCAGACCAGGGATCTGGACTTTCAACTTTCTACTTGGGATTTTAAAGTCTTTGTTCACCTGCATAGAGAAGAGTAGAAATGTGAGGCTTCCACAGGTCCAGTCATCTTTTACTGCTGAAAAGCAACTGTGTTGTGATCCCATGAATGGCTAAAGGGACTTTGGGTTCCAGGATATATGTAGCATAGGCTCTGTGTATATATGTGACTCTGCCTAGGAGGTAGGACCTACTAGTGGGAAGTGATGGTAGACAGTAACACTGAGACTGTGACAGGCAGAGATAGATAATGATATTAGGCAGGTTGAACATCAAGATGTCAGTGAGACTGCTTGAAGGGTTACCCTGATATCTGGCACTCTCCCTCTTTAACAAATAATTTGATCCTCAATGGTCCTGGGCTCTGGCTGAAGTTTTTTTAATGTGAGGTCTGTTTATAATAAATCTGCCCTCACCCATGATCTTATTATCAAGGATGTGTGGAATAGCTGTTGTAATCCACAAATCACCAAGGGCTCTTAGAGGTACAGATGTGAGACCCTCTTGTTGAGATTAGGCTCTACAGAGCAATATGGGCTTGCTGTTGGCATTGCCCTCCCTGCATATTATATTCTATGCATGGATGAGAAGCTGGTCTGAGTGGATTGCCTCAAGAAGCATGTCATGCACTTTGTGCTAGAGGCTTTCCAAGACCTGAGAGCTCGAGGTGCCCTGAACCGCCGAAATGGAGAGGGTGAGAGACAAAGTGAAGCCAACAGAGGAAGTTGGCTCTCCCACTCCGGGAGCTGCGGACAATGCCACTGGAGAGGACGGGGCAGCAGCCAGCCCTGCAAATCCTCCACGCCAAATCCTGGGACCAGAGTTCCCCAGCCGGAACAAAAGGCATCCCCCCTGGGCATCAAGTTTGATGGAGATCCAAAGCAATTGGGATTCTTCCTAGCCCATGTCCTCATACATGCAAGAATATGGGTGAGATTTCCCAACCCAGGGAGCCTGGGTCCGAGTCATCACCCTGGCCCTAGAAGGAACAGCTATGAGGTGGGTGGTGACCCTCCAGAACACAAACACTCCGGAACTCCAAAATTTTGGAGCCAATTACCTCCCGAGAGGTAATTGGCTCTCTGGAACCAATTACCTCCTGAGGTCCGGACCGCCCCCACCCTATTGGCCTTCTGCACAGCGGTGAAGACCTGGGTCTTCTGGCAGGCCTGAGGCCATTGATCTCGTTATAATGATCTTGCAAGACCCGGCCACGAATAGGAGTGCATGTGTTTCAACGTTTTTAAAGTTTTTAATGTTTTAATGTTTTTCTTTTTAACATTTTTATGGGATTGTTCGCATTGTTTTATTCTTTGTTGTAAGCCGCCCAGAGTCCCTTGGGAGTTGGGCGGCATAGAAAGGCGACAAAATAAATAAATAAATAAATTTTGATTGCTTCATGATGGCTCTCCGCCGCCAGTTTGAGGACCCCTTAGCTGACCACAAAGCCCGAGACCATGTCAAAACAGTGAGGCAAGACCGCTGGCCAGTGGCTGAATACATCGAGGACTTCCGAGACCTGGCCTGCCATGTGGACTGGCTAGAAGACATCCTAGTGAGCTGTTTTAAAGATGGGCTGAACAATGACCTCTACCATACCTGCATTGCCTGCTGAGTCCCGAATCACCTCCATGACTGGTATGTCCTATCAGAGGAGGCATAAATTGACCCAGAGAGGAACCAGTACCAGTCCAGCTGAGTCTGGAAGAGGTCCCCGCCTGAGAGGAAGAGGGAGCCTGCCAAATCACAAGCGATCGCACCGTTCTCGACCGCCTGTTTCAGGTGTGGGAAGGAAGACTACCATGCAGCAGAGTGCTGCTCAAAAACCCTGGTGAAGTAAAGTGACCATCCCATGGCCAGAAAGCCTACAGAAGCCATGCCAAAATCCAGAAACACAGCGCTGAAAAGCGATGAGGCTGTATAGTTCCGCCAAAACCAAGGGTGGGAACTTCGACCCCATCTGAGGAAGTTAATAGGAAATAATAGCAGGAAGTCTAATAAGAAGTAGCAGCACTCCCACTCCTGTCAGCCCGCGTGCTCACTGTCTCCTGTATGTGAAAGAAAAAAGACACCTCTGAAAATAAGCCCTAGTGGATCTAAAAGAAAATAAGTCCAGGTCTTATTTTTGGGGAAACATAATAGTACAGGTTTCACCCCATTCAAGATTGCCATGGGGGTGGATTTTGTCCCCATGCAAGAATACCCCAGGGAGCTCTCTTCATCAGTAAGTCTGACAGAGTGGGTAGGTTCTCTGCAAAGTGCATGGGAGAACATAAAGAGAGCATTGGCCAAAGCTAATTGGCCAATGGCTTTAGATAAAGCTCATTATTTCCAAGATAGCATTGCCGACGGCTGCCTCAGTGAAATGCTCTCTAATGGGTTTTTTTTAAATAATAATAATAATAATAATAATAATAATAATAATAATAATTTGGAAGATGAACCATACGGACTATGACACCAGTGAACAAAGGTTAATGGACCAACGACGTGTAATCCTAAACCACAAATTTTTCACTACAGAAGAATTAATAGCAATAGAAGAGAAAGCAATTAATGGTCTGAGTACAACAACAAAGAAGAGTAACATAAAGAATGATTTCCAGACTCAAAAGCAAATTGAGGAAGAAAGGGAAGAAGAGGATACTGAAATGGATGAAGATAAAGAACAAGGAAGCACCAAAGAACAAACACCAACAGATAGTGCTCAATTAGCTGGAAAAATAAAGCACCAAATGAAAGATGCTGAAAGAACACGTTTGCCAAAGCTGAACCAAGTGAATAATAAGTTAATAATATTAACTTATATATATATATATTAATATAATATAATAATAATAAGTTAATCTTTAGTGAGATTCACAGCCTTTGAGGCTGGTTAATAGCTCAGTAGCTTGAGTCCTAACCAAGGACCTAGGAACTGTTAAGGTATCGTCGGAGGATGTAAGCTGTTCCGAGTAAGGTGGTTTTTTGTACAGTCAAAATGTTCAAGTCTGGCAGATTTAGAATTTCTAAATAGTGGGGTAGCCCTTTGGGTATTGCTCCAAGGGCTCCAATTACAATCGGGACAAACACGATTTCTTTTTCCACAGTCACTCAACTTCAATTTGCAAGTCCCGGTACTTTGTGATTTTTTTCTTGCTGCTTATCTTCAATCTGTGCATCACCAGGTATTGCAATGTCAATGAACCATACTTTTTTCTTTTCAACTATTGTTATGTCAGGTGTGTTGTGGACCAAGTGCCAGTCAGTCTGAATCCTAAAGTCGTACAAGATCTTGAGTTTCTCATTCTCTAAAACTTTCTCAACCTGATGTTCCAGGGTTATTTATTTATTTATTTATTTATTTATTTATTTATTTATTTTTATTATTATTATTATTATTATTATTATTATTATTATTATTATTATTATTATTATTATCTATGGATTTCATCATCACAAGACCATCTGCTAAGAATTAAGCAATGTTTCTTTAAGGAGCAGCTTTCTGTAACTTCACCACCACCATCTTTACTAAACGCAAAGGAGATTCTAACACAGGAAGAAGCAAATTGCCCGGAGCTATGGATCACCAAAAGCAAATGCAGGAGACGCCATAAAAGAGGTAAAAGAGCGGGAATTTTGAATAAACTAAGGAAGAGGGGGAGCAAAAAAACCCCGCTCCCTTCAATCTTCCTTACTAATTTACGTTCACTTGCTAATAAGATGGATGAAATACTCCTTTTAAACAGATGCAATTCTGATTTTTACAATGCAGCAGCCCTATGCTTCATTGAATCCTGGCTAAATGAGGAAGATGATGATGACAACAGCATGCATATACCAGGGTTTCAGATAATAAGAGCAGACAATGCAGCAGCCCTATGCTTCATTGAATCCTGGCTAAATGAGGAAGATGATGATGACAACAGCATGCATATACCAGGGTTTCAGATAATAAGAGCAGACAGAATTGCAGAATCATCAGGTAAAAAGAAGGGAGGAGGCTTGTGTATATATATCAACAACAGCTGGTCTCAGGATATAACTATAATACATAAATTCTGTGATGAAAACTTAGAGTCTTTACTTATCAACTGTAAATCATTTTACTCTCCACATGAGTTCTCCTCATTTCTCCTAATTGCTGTTTATGTTCCTCCACAAGCCTGTGTAAACAAGGCATTATGAACTCTAACTGACCAGATTATGAAGGCTGAAGCCAAATACCCAGATTCACTGGCCATTATTTTAGGTGATTTCAACAAAGGAAAGAGCTTCCAAAATATTTTCAGCATGTCAATTGTCCCACTAGAGCAAGAATACTTTAGACCATTGCTACACAACACTAAAAGATGCTTATCGGTCTTTACCACAAGCAGCTGTGGGACACTCTGATCTTTGCATGATTCACCTTGTACCTGCCTACAGACAAAGACTTAAAACCACAAAACCAACAGTCAGTGAGGACCTGGATTGAGGAGGCAAAGTTAAGGACTGCCTTGACTGCACTGATTGGAATGTTTTTGAAAATATCTCTGCAGACATAGATGAACTTACAGATACTGTAACATCACATGTCAGCTTCTGTGAAGACCTATGTCTACAGACCAGGAACTTGTGAATACACAGTAAGAATAAACCTTGGTTCACAGCTAAACTTAAGCAGCTATATTGTACCAAAGAGGAAGCCTACAGAAAAGGTGATAGAATGCTGTACAATCAGGCCAGAAACGTATTAACAAGGGAGATCAGAGCAGCAAAAAGAAGCTACTCTGAAAAGCTAAGAAATCAGTTCTCAACAAGTGAACCAGCAAACAGGTGGAAAATTCTTAAAAATATCACCGGTTATGGCAAACCTCCTTCCCAGGCTGAAGGAAATCAACAACTGGCAGATGACCTGAACGTGTTTTACTGCAGGTTTGAAAGGAAACTACAGCCACCTATCTCCATAACCCCCATCCCAGACATACCAACAACAGCCAATCCTCCTGCAACTCCTCCTCCCATTGGGTTCACAACCCCTGGTGATCACAGAAAAGGAAGTGCAAGATCTATTTCACAGACAAAAGCCAGGAAAAGCACCAGGTCCAGACAAGATAACTCCTTGCTTAAAAGTCTGGGCTGACCAGTTGCCCCCACCCTTCACCCAAATCTTCAATAAATCACTAGAGATGTGCCATGTTCCTTCTTGCTTCAAATGCTTGAGGACCTGTATACTGCACGAGTCAAAAAGGGGGGCTGTGAAAATATTTACAGAGCCCTCGCATCCTGGACATAAATTGTTTCAACTCCTACCCTCAAAACGACATTATAGAGCACTGCACACCAAGACAACTAGATACAAGAACAGTTTTTCCCCAATCACCATCACTCTGCTAAACAAATAATTCCCTCAACACTGTCAAACTATTCATATTAGGCTGCATTACTATTGCTATTGGTCTTCACATCGTTCCTGTCGCCCATCTCCTCCCATTTGTGACTGCATGACTGTAACTTTATTTGTATCCTTGCGATTCATATTGTTTCCTAGTATGATTTGATTGCTTATTGTACCGTATGACTGTCACTGGGTATTGTGCCTTGTGATTCTTTGAGTGCATCTTGTCTTTTTATGTGCACTGAGGGCATACGCACCAAAGACAAATTCCTTGTGTGTCCAATCACACTTGGCCAATAAAGAATTCTATTGTATTCTAAAAAGAATAAAAAAGTACAGGCAGATAAGAGATTTTCACCTCAGGGTAGGAGAGAAGATATATTTATCTACCAAGTATTTGAAGTTACAGCTACCCTGCAAGAAACTGGGTCCCAAGTACAAAGGGCCATTCCCCATTGTGAAAGCAATTAATTCAGTTACAGTGGACCTCAAGCTTCCCCTATTGCTAAGGGAAATGCATCCAGTGTTTCATTGCAATTTGCTTAAACCAGTAGTAGGATTTGGGCTGAGGCTGGCTAGAAGGGAGGACTCCCAGACTAGTATTAGTGGAAGAGGAGGAGCATTATGAAATTAAGAGAATCTTAGATTCTAGGCCTTACAAAGGAAAATTACAATACCTAGTGCAATGGAGAGGTTACCCAATGTCAGAGGCACGGTGGGTGAAGGCTCAAAATATAAGAGCTGATAGACTAGTGAGGAGATTCATAAAAAATATCCACAGAAGCCTGGGACCCTTACTGGGAGGGGGAGGGAGTATAAAACCTAAAAGGGGTTAATGTATGTGCTTAATATCTTCCAAGTACCTTCCACTCGTTAGAGGGGGTCCGACTGTCAACTTCAAAGATAAATTGTGCTGATTTCAACCATTGCTGCTTCTCAGTTGCCACAGAGACTAAGGGGAGGGGAGCCACCTGTGGAATGCCGGCTCCAGACAGCAGACATCAACAAGAAGCCAGTTCTGTGAGAAATAAGGTCTTTCAGCCACCTGGGTTACTAAGGCCTGGGCCATTGCCAAAACAATATTCGGACTGCTGATTGGGCAATGTAATTTGAACTAATGAGGGGAGGAAAATTTAAGTGTTTTAACTATATAGCTATTGTGTGTGTGGGGGGGAGTTAATCAGAGTTGATTTTGCTTCAGTCTGTGCCGGTATGATATATTCAACAAAGCTTAGTAGAAAGAGACCAGAAAGATTCATGTCTGCTTGCTTGGATGGGTTCGTCAGTCAGGATCTTGACAGAAGACAAAGCTGATTTCTCAAGAGTTCCACAAACTACAGGATTGCAAAACATATTTATAGGCTAGCATGTTTTCCCGAAAATAAGACATTGTCTTATATTTTTTTGAACCCTGAAATAAGCGCTTGGCCTTATTGCCATGCGCTCAAAAGCCAGATTGGGTTTATTATCAGGGGATGTCTTATTTTCGGGAAAACAGGATATTAACTCCCTCAAATATGTTAATGTAGGCTTTAAATGATTCAAATGTTTTCTGCTTGATTTAAAAGATCACCTGAAGATTCTGATTCAGGTTCTGTTCAAGAGGTGCTTCACTTTAATCAAACCATTGACAAAACACCCTTTAAACTAGTTTTAAAAAGGACAGTTGTGTCCAATTTTATGAAAATCAAAACAGCCTTTATGCTGGCTTTTCATGGCATTTTGCATGAGAGCACATTTCCATTAAAGTAAGGTTGCCAGATAGAGCAAAGTGATACTTTTGACTGGATGCATCAAAGGAGAACACCTTACTTTTCTATGCTTCATTGCCACTTACAAACAAAAACAAGAACCCTTTCTTTATAATTGTGTGTGGATTGGTATAAATCTGTTTAAAAAATAATAGAATATCCTACCTCATTTTGATTTGACTCCCCCACCCCAATTATTGGGATTTTGACTTGCTTTTTTTGCTTAGTCTTGCACTTTTGCAGAAACACTTCTTGCAGCAAAACAGACAACCCTTCAGTGAGATAAACAGGAAAAGGAATGTTGCAGCCAAAAGGAGAGCAATGACATCAATAGAATAGTACTGGATCCAGTTGAGGTCATGAGCTGCTGGCCGCAAATGGGGAGCTCCCTTGTGCTTCATAACAAACTCCACCCAATGAACTGCCAGATCAAGAGGTTCAACAGGTCTGTCAAAGTGAAGAGATGAAAGACGCTGAATGTTCTCTTTATACCTAAAAGCATTATTAAATAGTAAGAGTTTAATTAAAATCCTCTCCAATAAAAAGATACCTAGGGAAATAAAGTACAAAAAAGCATGGTTGATGACTGAGTCATCTTCATATACATGATAGGGGATTAAGTGTGTGTTTATATCTATGCACATATAAAATCTCAAAGTTCAATTTATGGACACATCAGTGTAGTGGAACCCTGACAGTTATCACATTTTCCTTCAATGTTTTTCAAGTGCTATCCATGCAAAGCTTTGGTTTTCCATCCATTTAATCTGTCATCCAGCTGCTTTTCCTTATATTCTGCCTTTGTTTCTGTTGTTTTTATAATGTTCTCCGTTTTCACAGCCTGCAGCAATTTTTCTGTACTTTGGTTCACATAGTTATTCAAACTTCGTTTTTCTTCTTCTACAGTTTGATGGATTTGCAATAGCCCTCTGCCCCCTATTCTTCTTGGCAAATACAACCTGTCGATGTCACTTCATGGATGTAAAGTATGGTACATATTCAAAAGTTTACACTTTTCCAGTCCAAGTTTTCCAGTTCAGCCACAGTCCAGTTGATGATTCCAGATGGGTAGCATATCACTGGAACTGCCCATGTATTAATGGCTTTAATTATGTTTCCAGTGTTCAGTTTTGAATTTAATATTTTGCGGACCCTCCTGATATATTCCTTTTGCATTGACTCTTTGACTTTTCCATTCAAGATATTATATGCTTCCAATATGCCTAGGTATTTGTAGCCATTATCCTTTGCTAATGTTTTCATGATGCTTCCATTTCCCAGTTCTATTCTATCTTTTCCATTTTTCCTTACTGCATGAAAAGTATAATACAGGGGTGTCAAATTCAAGGCCCACGGGCCAGATCCGGCCTGCAGGGTTCTTAGACCCTGGGGCTGGCCTGGAAATAGCAAAGGACCAGCCTGCGGTGCCTCTGCTAGCGAAAATGGGACACCCTCCCCCCCGCAACTCATTTTTGGTCTGGACAGCCTCCTGCAAAATCCTGCAGCAAACATAATTCCCTCACTATCCTGCTTTCCAGCTGTTCTCCGGCATGCAGGTGTAGGAAGTTAGCACCCACCCCTTTCCTGGAAGAGTGAAATATTTTAGGAAATATGAAAAAGGCAGAATATTATATTTCCCTGGATGAGAAATGGAGAAGCATATTTTACAGACAAAGCAGCTCCCACCTTCCTGCCCCCCACCCTTTGTCAATGGGCCATTAAGGCCTGGGCCAGTCTATTCTACATAACAAAGATCTGCCTCCTTCAGGCAGAGCCATAGTAGGAATTGCCAAAGATCCAACAAAGATAGGATTAGCCCTCTACACAATAGCAGCAGAAACTCACCACATGTGACCTGGGAAGCACATGTGACCATCAGCCAGCAAGGCCCCCACCCCTTGGGAGTCTGACAACCAATCAGGATACTCTTTCGGGGCCCCAAGAAATGCAGAGCCAGAGAGAGCATAAAAACCCGAGGATTTACTGTATCTGCCCCCTTTTCTGTTCAGGAACTCAAGCCATGTGATCCTGTCCACCATTAAACCATCTTTCCAAGCAGTCTCCATGTTTCCAGTGTCTTTTTCCCCACTTGGAGCAGAACCTAGAAGGATGTTTCTTCCAACAATGGGCAATAAAAGAGCATGTGACTACCAGTAAAAAAAAAAAGTTCAGTCAGACCTTCTAACTTTGAGAGATCTTTTTCCCCTGAGAAGTTGGAAGGTCTGATTGCATTTTTAAAAAACTGGTAGTTACATAGTCTTCTTTTCTTGCCCTGCACGCAGGAGAACAGAGCTGGAAAGCAGGATAGTGAGGGAATTCAGGTTGCTCTGGAATGGGATGGAAGTGAGGATTTTGCATTATGATTCCTCTGGAATGGGGTGGAAGTGAGGATTTTGCATTATGATTGCTCATAAGTAAGTAAAAACCAGTAAAAGAGGAATGGAAAAATCCCTATCTGTAGATCAGCGTTTTTCAGTCTTGGCAAGTTTAAGACAGGTGAACTTCATGCTGCCTGGGGAATTCTGGGAATTGAAGTCCATGTACCTTAAAGTTGCCAAAGTTGAGAAGCATGGGTCTACACTAGAGTTTAGGATTTCCATTCCTGTTTTATTTAGAGTTTGGTGCAATTAAATAAATCAGTTGTGGTTTCGTTAACAAGTAGTGATTAAAGCGATATGAACCATTACTAGACTTTTTGTGAGAAACTGAAATTAAAAGTTGATCTGGGCGAAGTCCCCAGAGTTTTTGTTTTACTCGTAGGGACGAAGCAGGATGAGGCTCCCTAGTCTGCTCGCCGCTGCTCCGGGCTTCGGGAGAACTCTGCTTTTTGCAGAGCCAGGCGACGGGACCAAGCCACTCAATGAAAATTAACAGATTGTTTAAACAAATAGGATGAGATCCGGACTCTGGACCCTAAATCGCAAGTATTTCTAACAATTTTATAAGTGATCTTAAAAGCGAAGGAAAAAAAGTTTAAAATGGCAACTGGCTGAGGCTTGAGAAGAAGAAAGCTGAAAGCGAAAGTCCTTCCGCCTGAATAGTTTAACAAGCTACAAAGTAGCAGAAATAATAGTGCTGGCTAGAATTGAAAAGAAAATTTTCTACTTTATGTTTCTTTCTTCTTGGAGATTTGATATTGATATTGTTTGGAGAGAAGTCTTTTTCTTTAAAAAGAGTCTGTCTGTGTGGCAGGATGGCGTTAAAACTGACAAAGCCAGACAAACAAGCCGCGGGGGGGGGGGGTTTCCCCCATTTACAAATCACATGAACAAGTTTTGAATTTGCAGACTCAGAAGAATGGTTTTAACTTAAAAGAATTTGTCTTGGAGGAGATGGCAAGACATGATGAGATTGTGAACCAGAATCTTGAAAAATTCAGGCAGGAAATTAAAGAGTTGGTACAACAAAGATATGCCAATTTGAAACAAGAGTTTGTAACAGCTTTGAAAACTTTTTCAGAAATAGTTATAAAGATGGATAAAGATACTAACTTAGAACTAGAGTCTAAAATGGAGGAAGTTGATCATAAAATTTATAATTTGGACAATAAAATACAAAGAATTGAAAATGATTTGATAAATATTCAAGACAATAGCTCAGAAGTAAAGTCTAAAAAGGAAGCTGATCACGAGACTTACAATGCAGATAATATAAAACAAAGGATTGAAAAAGAAGTTACAATGATGCAATACAGGTCCATGGAATTTGCGGTCAGAATGAGGGGATTACAGGAAAATAATAGAGATGATTTGAGAAAGATGTCTGCTGAAGTTCTGGCTGTAATTTTAAAGGTTCGTCCTGAAGAGGTATCCTGTAAGATTGATAAGGCCTACAGAGTAAATTCTTGGATTGCAAAGCAAAGGTAGTTGCCTAGAGATGTGGTGATTTACTTTACAGATAAAGGAACAAGAAATGATATTGTGCAAAAATCTTTTAACTCTACTTTAGAACTGAATGGAAGAAAGATTTGGATATATAAAGAGCTGCCGTCCAAGATGTTAAAAGATAGAAAGCAATTTGGATTTTTGGTGACTGAGCTAAAGAAACAAAACATCCCATTTAGGTGGGATGCTCCAGTTGGTATAATATTGAAATACCAAGGAGAAAGATATCAATTAAATACTGTTGAAAAAGCGGAAGAATTTTACTACAAGGTTCTTAAAATGGATTTAACATCTCCATGTATGCCATCAGTGTTAGGAACACAGGAGGGGAATAAAGAAATGTAAAATGAACAAGAGACTGAAACCCAGGCTAAGCAGATGGAGATGGAGATAATGGAAAAACAACAAGTCACAGAGGCTCCTTTGGACAAGCCGCTTTTGGATTCTACTTTAAAGGTTATAGCTGGATTACTTACAAATACAAGAGAGGCGGCTTTGCATTTTAATGCGATGTTACATCAAGTTACAGACCAGCATGGAAATCAATCAGCTGATATACAAGTTCTAGAAAGGCATCCAGGATGGAGATCTAAACCACAAAAAGTTAAGAAAAGAAGAAGCAGGTCCTACAAAACTAAAAAAATTTAGACTAAACAACAGTCTAATGCCAGTTACTTAAGATGATTAAAATGAAAATATAGCTGAGGTAAATTATTGACTTGTACTATTTTGAGAAGAATGACAGATCTCTGCAGTGCTGTGCTTTAGGGATGTGGAAGAAGGCCTCTAACTGAGTGGATTGGAACTTTCTATTTTGTACTCTTTGTAAAACGGATTACGTATATGTTGAGCTATAAGGCACGAGAATTATGGTGGGGCATGCAGAAGATCTGGTTGTTACCCTAACATGGTGGTTGGAATTAATAATCTAGATGAAAGACACTACAGAAGATATCATATGGAATATAAATATAAAGTCACTCGGGTGGTTTTTTATATATGACAACATTTATTACTGATGGGGGCAGATGGTAATTGAAGATACTGAATATACTGTTGGAAACAGAACTTGATGTTATCCTAACATGGGTGATGGAATTAATAATCTAGCTGAAAGACATTACAGAAGATATTATATGGATTGCAAACTTAAAGTCATTTGAGGTTTCTGTTTATATATGGAAATATTTTTAAGTGGTGTGGTGTGGGCAGAAGAACGAAGATATTAAAATATTATATATGTTAGACCTGTAGCAAAATGGGTGGAGATAGGTTAGGTTACTGATTGTTTAGCTTAGTAAAAGGGATGTTATGTTTAGATATAAAAATATGTAAAAGATTTGAATTAAGAGATATATGTATGGGGGTGGAGGAAATGCGTAGATTATGAGTTGAATAAATGCTAAATTAGGAATTGTTATAAAGTTTTATAGCTGAAGGTTGCTTTGAAATGTATAGTATAAGGGGGATATAATAACAATGTTAGAAAGAAAAGGTTAGCATATGGGGGTGCTGTAAAAGGATGGTAAAGTATTATTTAACGTGATATCAATGATTTTATCTTGAAGAAGCCATGGGGGGAGGGAAGGGGGAGGGGGGGATAGGGAG